CAAAAAGAAAAAAAGAAAGAAAGGAAGGGGAGAAAGGAACAAAACCAACGGATCCATCCGGTGTATTCTATCTTGCTATCTATCTCGCTATCTCTCTCTCTCTCTCTCTCTCTCCATTCATTTGGTATCCATCCATGCATGCCGCACCGACCGATCCCGATCCCGATTCCGATCCCGAGTCTCTCTTCGCCGCCGCCACCACCGCCGCCGCCGCCGCCGCCGCCGCCGCCCAGAAGATCCTCGAGGATGATGCTTGCGAAAATGTCGGGGGAGCAAGAGAAAAGAAAAGAAAAGGAAGAAAGAAAGAAAGAAAGGAAGAAAGTAAGGAAGGAAGAAAGAAAGGAAAGAGAGAAGATTTTTCTACCATTAAAGTTTTCATTTCTTGTGCGCGTGTGGCGGATGTAAGAGAAAGAGGAGGCAAGAGCGAGAAAGAAAGAAAGAGAACGACCGCTTGCTACCCCGTTCGTGACCCGTTAACCCGCCGCATTCTGCTACCGCAATCGTGAGCACATCCCATCCATCAAGCGAACGACCGATTTTCTTTTTCGCTGTCAGTTGTCTCTCTGTCTCTGTCTTTGTTGCACCCAGCCAGGCAGGCCGGAAATCGGAAGGTCGAGGCGTCGAGGAAGGAAGGCTAGATTGGATTTTCGACGGGGGGAGGAGGGGATTTTTTAGGAGGATGGCGCAGGGAAGCCGCCGGGGGGGCTGCTGCTGTCTTGGAAGACGGAGGAGCCAGCGGGAGAGGAGGACGACGTCAGCTGGGTGCTGTTGTTGGAGTTGGAATTGCCGCCGGGACTACTGCCGTTGTAGCCGTTGTAGCCGTTCGGACCTCCTGCATCCATGCCTCCGGCCACGCCTCCTTCCGAGACGGCAGCAGCGGCAGCAGCCTTGACGGCCTTCGACTTCGGAGCGAGTCTCTTTCTCTTGGCGGCTTGGCCGGAGGTGCCACTGCTCGAGTCTCCGGTAGCGCCGGACACCTTGCGCTTGGCCGCCGGGGTTTTCTTGGGAGCGGCGGCGGCGGCGGGTGGTGTGCCAGTGCCCATCATGCGGTCCTCGTTCTTGATGGGGGTTTGCTTGCAGGACTTGACAGCCTGTGAATGGAGAAACGCGGCCTGTTATTATGTGTTGTAGAGGGAGACGCAGGGAGTAAACAGAGAGAGAGAGAGAGAGTACTTACAGCACCTCCATGTCCGCTGTTGGGAGTTGGAGAATCGAGTTCGGTTTCTTCCTCATTGTTGACCATCATGGGTGCCGCACCAAACCCAGCTGGTTCGATAGGTCGCAAACCACCTGGTTGAAGGGGTCGGAAACCAACGCCAGGAGGGGCACCAGCATGGCCACCGCCATTGCCACCACCAGCACCTCCAACCATGCCGCGGTTCCACTGTTGGCTGATTGCCAGAGCGTTGATGACCTGATTAGCATCTGCCATGATACGCGTAAGCTTATCGGCATTCTCCTGCGTGTGCGGGAAGACAAGCCACATCGTGATGCCGTTCTCACTCGACACGAAGTTTGGGATGGCGTTGCTAAGACCCAGGCACTGCTGCATCAAGACACTAGTGACCTCTGCCTCGCGGGCCCAGACCTGATGTTCCGCAGCGTAGGCTGACAGCCGGGAGACGAACATGGCGGGGATGGGGGCTCTGTTCGCATCGTAGATGGGCGGCTTGATCATGGGGCGCATACAGATGCGGACACCTCTGCGGCCGTCGGCTAGGACGAAGTGGTCAATCAGCTCGGGGTTGGCACCTAGAAGGATTGTGCTGAAGTGTTGAAGGTGGTTTTGGAGAGGACCTCGGGGCTGGGGTTGCTGCTGGGGTTGCTGTTGAGGTTGAGGAGCTGATGCACCGTATCCTCCGCCCATGTTGTAGCCCTGGTTATGGTTTCTGGGGACTGCATTCGGACCGCCCATGTTGTAGCCTTGGTTATTGTTTCTGAGGACTCCATCCGGACCGACGTTCACAGCCATGCCTATTCCCATGACACCTGCACTCATGTTTTGAGGGCCGGGTCCGGAAGAGGGGACACGGTGTTGATGAGCGTCTGGCAGGCCACCGTAGTTGTTGTAGTCGATGATGGGAGGGCCACGAACGGGACCGGGACCGTAAGGACCAATGCTCGGGCTGCGGAGGTGATGGTATTGGGGTGGGGGTTGGACCGCAGGGGCACCATTGTAACCACGCGGATTCATGTCCTGACGCATCTGATTCGGAGCAGCCAGCCTAGCATACGACGAGGCCGCGACTTGAGAGTTGCTCGAAGCAGGAGCGCCATTGCCACGACCCGTGTTGTCAAGCACAGAGAGATCCATGTTGGAATCGTTCAAGTACTCTTGGTATCCCTGCCAAGTAAGATTCAGTCCGTCTCTATTACCAGCTTGAGGCTGAGTTTGAACCCGAGCTTGAGTCTGAGCCTGAGCCTGAGCGAAAGCAGGAACATTGGGGTTGTCGGTAGCCTCGTCATAAGTCGGTGGAGACGAGTTGACGGACATGGTAGGAGCGGCACGAACTGGTCTTGGGCTCTCGGGGTGAGGTTCGATGGAGTATTTGACGTTGCTGTCGTCGCCGTCGCCGTTATGGTCACTGTTGATTGTCTGAGGACCGGGGGAGTTGTAGATCATGGGTGGTTGTGGCTGCGGAGTTGGTGAGAGGGATATTGCCAAATTCATGCTGCTGCCGGAGATGTGGTTGGTCACGAGATTTGTCTGAGCAGCCACGCGACTCGACGTAGCTGGTTGGTTCGCGTTGGCGCGGCCGCGCTGAGGAGCGAGATTGAGGTTGTTAGAGACCATGTTTGCTGGTTCCGTAGAGTTCAAGGTGAAGCTCGAGCCTTGAGCCGATGCAGATTGGGGAGATATCAAACTCGAATTTCTACCCGGCTCGACAAGCATTCTGTATCCCTCGTTGCCAGCGCCAACCGAAGTCGGAATCTGCTCGGAGATATCAAGATCATCAGAGTTAAACTCACCCCTCTGAAACGCAAGGCTCGAATAGTTCGATACCGGCCTATACACCCATTGATCAGACGAATGGTCAGAAGACGTCAACCTCAAGCCTTGTCCAGATGGAGCATTTGCAGAAACTCCCTGACCAAAAGCGTCATCGCGAGATGGGGAGCCCTCAGGAGATTGCGAGCGCTGGGGTGATGATCCAAACATTCCAGATCCAGCACTCTGATAATCCGCCGCCTGATTATACATGCGCTGACTAGACGAATATTCAGGAGACGTGGAGCCTTGAGGTGGTGGTGCAGACATTCCGAGTCCAGGATGACCATAGCCCGACATCTGATTTGATGATATACCCTGATCAAACGAATATTCCGGAGACGTCGAGCTTTGAGACGGCTGTGCGGGCATGCCGAGTCCAGATTTACCACCAGCTGAAGCTTGCTCTGAGATACCCTGGTTACCATAACCTGAAGCTTGTCCTGCGGTGCCTTGGTTACCATAAGCTGAAGCTTGCTCTGAGATACCCTGGTTACCATAACCTGAAGCTTGTCCTGCGGTGCCTTGGTTACCATAGCCTGAAGCTCGCCCTGAGATGTTCTGAGTACCATAACCTCCCGAGATGGCTTGATTCGAGGAATGATCCCAGCTTTGGGATGGTCCTGCAGGTCCCGGGTCATAGGTTGAAGCTTGCTTTGAGATATCATAACCTGAATCTTCTCCTGAACTGCCTTGGTTGCCATAGCCTGAAGCTGGACCCGACATGTTCCGAGTACCGTAACCAGAAGCTTGCCCTGAATTGTCTTGACCAAAAGAATACCCAGGAGACTTCGAGCTCCGAGACGACGGTGCACGCATTCCTCTTCCAAGATTATTATTATCGTTAGAACCCGACGCATTTCCTCCTGAATGATTCGGACCAAAAGAATATTCGACAGCCCTCGGGTCTTGATAATACGGAGCAACCATTCCGGGTCCAGAGGAGTTGGCCGCCGCAGGAGCCGAAACCTGGGAGGAATACGCGGGAGACTTGAATCTCCGGGATGGGACCAGGGTTCCGAATCCGTTATTGATGGCGGCAGCGCCCGAAGCCTTTCCTGACATACCCGAAGCTCTGATAGCCGGGATGTAGGTGAAACCTGATTCCGGAGACGAGCCGGGGTTTGCGTGGCCGAGATGACTAGAGATCGACGCCTTGTTGGAGACATCTTGAGCCTTGGGACCGGCAGCGAGAGAGGGATTCGAGCTTTGGGCCCTAGGTGCGGAAAGATACGTCAACTTCGAGCCCTGGGGTGGACCACCAGAAGCAGACGCCTTGCCTGACGCACCCTGAGCCATAGGAGCCGAAGGGAACGTCAACTTCGAAGCCGGAAGAGCCGTAGCAGCCGACGCATTATCCGAAGCACCCTGGGCCATAGGAGCCGAAGGGAACGTCAACTTCGTAGCCGGAAGAGCCGCAGTAGCCGACGCATTATCCGAAGCCCCCTGCACCATGGGAATAGTAGGGAAGGTCAACTTGGTCGCCGGAAGAGGAGCCATGGGAGTCGGCAGAGATGCCAAGGCCGGATCCAGACACGGATCCAGCATCCCACGTTCAAGACTCGCAGCCCGCGCAGCCTTCTTCAAGACATCCTGGACCATGGGCGTGTTCTTCAGGCGCGCGGATCTCTTTCCTGTTCGTGGAAGGGACGGTTTAGCTGTCGGTGCAGATGCAGACGCAGATGCAACGGAAGCGGAAGCGGGAGTGGGAGCGGGAGCGGGCGGCTTGGGTGAGTTTTGCGGGCCGGGTGCGGATGCAGGAGGCTCGGAGATCGCGTCGCCTTGAGAGTTGTTCTGACATTTGGCCGGGTCGAAGAAGTGTGTGTCAACCCTGCACTTCCAACAGTACTGGGTGATTCTGTCCGATTTGCCCATGATTCCGGGATGGTTGTGTCTTTCGTCGATCTTTGACGGTAGACGGAATATGATGATTCGTAGAGGGGGAGGCCGAGAGGGTAGAGAGATGGAAGTATTGTGGTGGTCGAATGGATGGTCGGGTGAATTGTTGATTTTCGGGCGCGAGGAGTTGGCAGAGCGTGGTGAAAAGTCGAGGACTGGGGTACTTGGAAATTCAGTGAAGTTCTGAAGGAGAGGGTGACTTAGGAGTGAAAGGTGACGAGGAGGAGGAGTGGAAGGAAATCAGAGTTGTGTTCGCCCCTTCTCTGTGTATTGATTGGGGGAAAAGAGGATTGTAAAGAAAGATGCAGAAATGAGGAGGAGGAGGAGGAGGAGGGAGAAGAGGAGGAGGAGGAGGAGGAAGACGAGGAGGAGGAAGAGGAAGCTGGATGGGGAAGACTTACAGCGATTTACCACACTCACGCACACGAAAGAGAAGCACACGAAAGACAACCACAGCCTCTGCCTCTCCAAGGACAACCTCAAGCAGCAGACCTACTTGAAATAAGAGAGCAGCAAGTCGTACCGTGTTGAGCGCGTTGGTGTACTGTTGGTGTACTCCAAGTTTGCTGTTATTGTTGTTGTCTGGGCCAAGGCAAGAATTGGCGGCGTAATCAACGCAGATAGATGATGGTCTGTTGAGCTTTGAACGGCGACGGAGAAACAACTTCACCGCAAGAGAGAGAGAGGGGGATAGCCTAGCGCAGGTTTCTACAGGGTTAGTGTGTCGAAAAGATGGTATTATCAGTTATCAGAAGTCGAAAGTCATGAAGCATGATCGAAAAGGTGGAGGACAGGACGTAGCATGCGTGAAGCTTCGACTGGGCCTTGACGAGGAGTTGTAGGTAGGTATCAAGAGTGTGGAAGTCCTATGTGCATCTACATACAGTGCTTTCAGCATAGAGCATGTCTTAAGGGCTGGTACCAAGCCAGGGATGCCGATGGTATCATAAAGACTTGAGGTACTAATGTTGACATGGGAGCATTAAGACGTAGCTGCTAAGATGATATCCGGTAGATCTGGTATTTTTTGTTAGAGCCCCCTTAAAGCAGACAAGGAGAGTTTACACTCCAACATCACCCTTTTAAGAGCAGCAATCACTATGCAATGTACGATCAGGATAGCTTCAATACACAGCAATGGCAAGCAGACACTCTGAAATAAGAATGGAAGACCCAAGCTCACTCACGCGCAAAATAAACCACGAACAAAACAGTGACCCAAAGAAGCCGTCAAAAATTAAACCAAAGTGATGTAGCAAGAGATCTCAGAGAGGGCGAGAAATTCAGATTGTAGTCTGGTGATTCCAAGTGCATCTTGTGCTCGGTTATTGATATCTCGGCTAATTCGTGGCTCCTTTTCACACCCCTGAATGTCAATAGTCCGAGCCGACCATGTGATCTATATCTTATTGTGTTATTCACTATTGTGCTTACCATTGTGCTCCCAGTGAAAGCCATGATGGAATAGAACGCGTTGACCTAAAGAGACAGGGGTTGCTAATATCACCGATGCTCTCAGCGACAAGGTGAGGTATCGAATTCGAGATCGGGAGCCTAAGGAAAGTAGAGAGCTTAAAAAACAAAGGACTCGCACGCAGTAACAATCTATAAATCTTGCATGATAGTCACATCCGAAAGCACAAATTCCATACGAGAATCGCATTGCAACAAAGAAAGAACGACAGTGTGTACGAGGTCTCCCGGACTTGCGTATTCCTTCTAGGTGATGCTTAAAAGAATGGTCCTATCCTTACAATGGATGAGAACCAGGTATCATACCGAATTCATGCTTACCAACGCCTGATGATGCATGACAACCCAAATCTAGACTCCGTGTAATGCGACCGACCTAAATCACAATTCCCCATAGTGTGTACGTGTCGAGCGTTCATAATCCCAATCCACTCCCGAGTCTTCGTCAAAAGCATTCAGATCCTCTTCCTCTAGAGTTCCAACGAACGCACGTCTGACAAAGCTAAGCCAGACTTTGTTCTTCTCGTGCTGCCGGTGGTGCTTCTTCTTGTTGTGCTTCTCGATGCCAAAATTATTGTCGTATTCATCCTCTTCATCCTCCTCGTCATCGATCTCATACTCATCAAAAGAGTCGTCTACCTCATCACCTTTTTCAGGTTGGTATCGACCGATTCTGTGGGCAAGCTTCATATAGCTGCGCACGGTCAAATCCTTCAGCTTGTATATCGGATCGGTAAAAGTGTCGTATTCGACCTCGAAGCGAAAGGGCTTTGGCTGAGGTATCTGATCTTTGGGGTGCTTCCCCTTGTGCTTCCCCTCACGCCACTTGTCGGTCTCAACGTCTTCTTCGTTCGGGACAACGTAGTTGTCATTATTGATGTAGGTCAGGTTGGCAAAGTATTGAGTGTAGCCAAGCAGTGTCAGCGATTGAGGCGAATACGCAGGTCCTGGCAGCGCGGTTTTAGATGGTGGAGTCGGAACATTGAGGTCGGGCGTCTTGGGCGTCTTGGGCTTCTTGTGCGTCTTCTTTTTCTTGTTTATTGACCACTCGTCATCGCCCTCTGCCTCGTCAACTGCTGAGTCAAATCCTTCTTCAAGCCAGTCCGTCTGTTGCGGCTCATCTGACGCCTGTGCGTTGGCCCAGGTCGCCGAGAGGTCAAGATCACTGATGTTGTACTCCATCACTCGAAGAGTCGGGAAGAAGTTAGGTACAATGCTGGGGCCGACCAGAGTGACTTGGAATCGTTCTCCCCATGGCCCACCAATCTTCTTCAGGGCTTTGTCCTTCTTACTTTTCTTGCCCTTCTTGCCCTTCTTCTTCTTGAGGTTATCCAGATCATCTTCCATGGAGGCAATGTTGGGATTTGGCAAGCCTGACCATTTTTCCCGCAGCTCTTCGAGATAGTCATTTGCGGACTCGATTGTAAGCTCCTCGTCCATTAAAGTGCGTACAGACTCGAGATCTTCTGCATCCCCACCAGCGATAAAGACATCGACCTCTTTGGTATCGTGGAGCATAAAATGATCGACGTTCATATGGCCAAAGAGTCCCCCGACAACGACGTCACGGTACTGATTCAGCCACAATGTATATTTTTGCCAACATGTCTCGTCCCAAAGTTGTTTACTATCTGTTCTGGCAGGAGGGACGTGTCCGATAAGGATTGCCTTCATGCCACGTACTCGCATAAACTGAAGCTGGATCCGGAGCCACTCGAAATGCTCGAAGCCGGGCTCGGAGCGCAGGGCACAGCCATCGACAGCAGCGTTGTGGTCGAAGAAGTACAGGGTATTCAAACTGAAGACCGCCAGCTTCTTCGGTATGACCTCAACGAAGTACCAGCCGCCCCTCTCGAAGCCATGTCTTTGCTCCTCTGGTATGAACTTTCCCCAAATATCGGCGTACGCCTTCAGCCATTTGTTCGGGCCCGAGAGAAGGATGTTGTGTGGGAGGATGTCGTTGTTGCCAAACGTCGAGACGATGGGGATCGCCAGGGATTTATCTGGATCGTTCTTCTTGCTGAACACATCGATAAACTTCTGCGCAATCCACTTGTTCGTATCTAGAATTTCTTCCGCGTGTCGGGGAATCTCTTCGTCGCTGTCGTGCCTCGCGGAGTCGCCTGTGAAGATGACGAAATCGATGTTGTCTCTGATGTTGTCCTCTATCCATTTAAACGTCGCATCAATCAGGGCGAAGGGCGTGTCGCAATCAGAGGTCTCTGCACCGTATGTACCGGCCAGGCCCTTCCCTCGGTGACATGCATCGTCCTCTCCGGTCGAGGAGTGGACTTTGTAGTGAGGGTCGGGGTGGAGGTCTGCAGTGGTCGGTCAGCGTTGGCCGCAGATAATACGCAAGATATCCATCTAGCTGTAGGCTAGCTGTAGATAGATATGTCGAGCAGCCCACCTGAGATATGCAGAAACCTCCCATGTAGCCGTCGTGAGGCTTGCTCCCGTGGCAGGTCCTCCAATGAAGCCTGCAGGACGGATTGTGTATCGCCGATGATTACGGGCGTACCATGCGAAAATCTGAGCAGGCTTGCTGCTAATAATAAAGTGGAAGAACGCATCTCGAACCAGTCTGAAAAGAAGAATACTTAGGATGAATAAGGGCAGATGGACATTCTCGACCAGAACGGGAGGCGATGGCCCCTGTTGATAAGTATATATATCTTGGGGGGTTTGGGTACCCGGGCAGGTACGCTGGCTGACGTTCGTGGCTGCCTCTTACTGTACCGGTACTCCCTTACTGTACGGTTATTTGGGATTAGATGTAAGAAATGGAAAGCCAAAGCTCCAACAAAGACTTCTGCCCTCCTACCTATGTATGAATCTCGGTATACATGCATGTATATATATGTGTATATGTCTGTGTGTGTGTGTGTGCTCGTGCTCATGTGTCGTCCGAAGAGGTCGCGGGACTCTCCTACTTACAAGTATCTCGAATATACCAGCCTTCCGGGTGTCTTACTCACGCTCTGGTGTAAGTAATTTCGTCCAATCAAAGATCCACGTGTAGGCCATCGAGTCATCTGTATCGCGGGCAGCTCTCTCTCGTCGCGGTTTTCCATGACGAGAATGAACCTTCGTGGGGTTCGGAATACCCTCACGGGACCATTGTCAAGTGAGATCTTCACTTGGTGATCAGTCTCTGGGCCTGTGTTGCCTGAGCTGTGCGTCGTCGTCTGCAACTGCATGGAGGGTCCCTTCAATCGTTCGGCTCAAGGGACCACCGAACTGTTGGTCAAAGACCCAACAACGATATAGCCTGCGATAAGTTGCTGCTATGAAACTAAAACGTCTTGTAGCAGCTGAGCCACAATGTTTGATGTCCTTAATAATCTATCCCCTGGCTGCGTCACTTAGCGATGCTTAAGTATTGATCTTTAATTAACTAGCTCCCACGCCGTATATTTCTTCCCATAAGCCAGCCTAAGAGGTAGTTACAGAGGAGAAAGATAGTTAGTTGCTGATATGTCGCGAGTTTATGCCGCTGTGATCATCCCGCTCTCCGGCGTTCAAACCAATACCGTTTTCTCGGAGATAGTAGATTGAGTGTGAGTATTATTATTCCTTGAAGAAACTGAGGAGACCAACTCTTATCTGTGGGAGTTGACCTCGCCATTCATTTATCATTGCCTTTGACCATAACTGAGGCAAATTCACACTAACTCGGAAAGCTACCACCAATTCCCCGTTTCGAGAGCCGACCTGCAGGTTGTTCCGGCCGGAGCGAAATTATTAATTGATACATATTGCCTCATTCTCAAAATTTTGCGTTCCAAAATGTCGCGATGGCAGAGCGGTCTAATGCGGTAGACTAGAACTTCTCACGAAATCTTGATATCTACTCTCTTCGGAGGCGCAGGTTCGAATCCTGCTCGCGACTTCAGCACCACAATTTTTTTAATTTTTTTCCGTCCTTTTCTGGGGAAAAAAAACTCTGATCAGGTTATTTTAGGTAGCCCCACATGTACCTAGACGGACCTCTGAACGGAAGGATGTCTTCTTCGGATGCAATCCTTCTTCCAAAATTTACATTTTAATTTTTACTTTTTGTAAATGGCTATATTGAAAAAGGATCGTACGGACTTACGATAAGGTGAATGAGTGAACGGAGCCGCCGCCGGTCCACAGAGGAAAATAAAGTAAAAAAAAAATAAAAAAAATTATATGGAAAATTTCCGCCAAACCCCCCTTCTATTGAATGAATATGTAAAGAGAAAGAGGTTCTGGCCCACCAACTCTGTTATTTCTTCAATTTTTCCATTCTAGCTATAGCGGCCAGGGAGGTTGACGAGGTCGGACTTCGTAATGAATCTGATATGGATGGCCGCTGCTGGCTGCTGTTGAAGAAGGAATGGCTACGGACGTATTGGCACAGGGGAAAAAGTGATGGAAAAAGGAGGGGGTGGGGAGGGGGGGGGGGGGGGGGCGGGGGAAGGAAAAGCTGGAAGACAAGAAACTGGTTGGATCCGCCGACTTGGGAGAGTTTCCGATGGATCGATCTCCTGATAGGTAAGGTGTACAGACGGGGGAAGATGGAGATGCAACGCGGGCTGGGCCGGCAATGCACCTGCCAACCGTGGCCCGCAGCCGGAGGAGGGAGTACCGTAGTAGCGTAGTACCGTAGTACAGTAAGTACCTAGGTACCTAGCACTACGTGCGTAAGTGAGGAGAGCGAAGATCTTTCAGCCTCATCTAGTGCCGTGGCGTATCGTGGTGCATACCTATCTATTTACCGAGAACAGACATGTCTGTGATGACGAAGTGCGGCGCTTGTGGACAGACTACGGAGTATACGGAGTAGAGATCTACGTAGTACGTGGAGGGAGCACAGGACCCGTCGAGCTTGAGTTGGGTAGTCGTATGATAATCAAGCCGAAGGAACAATATTGAGGAATGAAATTGCACATATTCATTTCTTTTCATTTTCTTTTCAGTTTTATGTTTTTCCCCTTTCTTCGCACCCTGTTGTTCCGTCCCCTGTGAGCTGTTTTGCGTATTTACTCTTCTCCTTTTTTTTTCTTATTCCTTTTTTTATGACTGTATTATTTATTTTTGTATCCGACCTGGGATCGGCAGGGTCGGAGTTATTTTGGATGGAGGTGTTATCGCTATCGAGAAGGATGATGGATCCCCCTGCTGAGTGGTTCCTTCCCCGTCTCAGCGTCGTGCAACATCGGGGCTGTGATTGGCTGGACAGGAGAGGAGGTGAGTCATTCCAAGTTCCAAGGGGTCCGGGCAGAGCAGAAGCGAGCGGTTGATGCCAGATGTTCTCTTTTCTCTTGGGTTTCGAAGATGCGAAGAATTCGAAGATTCTTCCTTTGGAGGATTCCCCCATCAACGGTGCAGCAGCAGCGGCGGCGGCGGCGGCGTCAAGATGGTGACATGTAGGGTACTATGTGTTACATACATTTCCTTCCATTCATCTACTTTTATCCCCTCAGTCTCGCCGTCGCCGTCGCCGTCGCCCTCTCCCTCGCCGTCGCCATTGTCGCCGTCGCCCTCTCCTCTCCTCTCCTCTCCTCCCATTCCCCTCCCCCTTTCCCTTTCCCTTACGATCATCGTGTCGTGTCCGTCTGCAATGCAATTTTGACGCGTTGTCGAGGGGGAAGGTAAACGAATGGCCGGGATCTTTCGTGTCAGAGCTCTTCGTCATTGGCTGTGATTGGACTCCGAGCTCGCACTAACTCGCACCCGGCCGAAGAAAAAAAGGCCCGTGGGCCCGCGCTAGTCCGGAATGGGGCCTCTGCCTTGTGCCTCAGGCCGCCATTAAATTTCTGGCCGCAGTATATAAGAACGGCCCTCCTTCCCCTACTTATTCACAACTTTTCGCGTGATCTGGGTTCAAGTCTTGGTTTCGCGCATCAAACCCAACCACCCATCACCTCCCACCTCCCATCACAACCACCCGCCGCTGCATCTCTTTCTGCATCTCACAGAGGAGCTGGAAATCAAATCAATTCTTACATTCATTCATTCATTGATCAGATACAATCCAGGAGACAGACTGACTGCATCGGCCCGCCCCCATCTCGATTTTGGAGACGCCCCAACCCCAGAAACCGTTTTTGCGCTCGCACGGTCCAACAAGGCACGATAGTAGCCTTCCCCCGCACACCCCCGATACCGACCAACAGACACCCCTAAGATCACCTCTCCTCCTCACTTCACTTCACCTCACTCTACCTCACTTCAACCGCTCCGCCTCTGCCTATCGTCGTCGCCGACAGTCGAGCTAGCCTACTGTAGGGGAGACATTGAATTGTTCTTCTCCCACTAACGGTACGATCCTCCTCCCCGACCTGTCCCTCCCTCTCTCGATAGGGAATCAAAGAAGCCTCTCGTCTTCACCCCCTATCCCTCCATCTCTTCATCCCTTCGCATCTTCGATCGCCAGTCAACATCAAATACACACATACCCTGGGGCATCCTCGAACGCATCATCTGACATTTGCGATTCAGATCTGCTCATCTCACTTCCGATCTTGCCGTCTACCCCCACAGACGAAAGCACATCCATACACCTTCTCAAGATGGATCCAATCCAAACACATCCCGCGAACGCCGCCCACGCCAAAGCCTTCATCGCTCCCGGCTCTCTGTCCTTCCCAGGTGGTGCTGGTGAACTGACTCCTCCATCTTCGGAGGCTGAGAAGCGAAACGGCCAGAGACCAGGACAGATGAACGGCGGTCAGCAGCAGGTCGGTCAGCCCCAGAACGGCAATGGGGTAACACCCGCCACGCCTGTGGCGACTCCTGCTGCGGCGGCGGCGACGACCGGTGTCAGCGGCATTGTTCCCACCTTGCAGTAAGTATACCCTATTCCCCCGCGAGCCTCGTCTTGAATACATGAGGCTTATGGTGCTCGCAAAGAAACATCGTGGCCACGGTCAACCTTGATTGCCGACTGGACCTCAAGACGATCGCTCTGCATGCCCGTAATGCCGAATACAACCCAAAGGTACTTGCTGACTCTAGGCTTGCTTGCTTGCTATACCAACCCTCTTCCGTGCTGACACTGGGCCTCTCTAGCGTTTCGCGGCCGTCATTATGCGTATCCGCGAGCCCAAGACTACGGCCTTGATCTTCGCCTCTGGCAAGATGGTGGTCACCGGTGCCAAGTCGGAGGATGATTCCAAGCTTGCTTCGCGCAAATATGCTCGTATCATCCAGAAGCTTGGTTTTAACGCCAAGTTCACCGACTTCAAGATCCAAAACATTGTTGGCTCCTGCGATATCAAGTTCCCCATTCGTTTGGAAGGTCTTGCTTCGCGCCATCACAACTTCAGCTCGTACGAGCCGGAGCTGTTCCCTGGTCTCATCTACCGAATGATCAAGCCCAAGATTGTTCTGCTCATTTTCGTTAGCGGCAAGATCGTTCTCACCGGTGCGAAAGTCCGTGAAGAGATCTATCAAGCCTTCGAGATGATCTACCCTGTGCTTCAAGGTTGGCTTCCCCATCTAATATACCCGACCTGACTCGTGCTAATCTCCCTCTCCTAGATTTCAAAAAAGTCTGATCTGGCTCCGCCACGATTTGCATCAGCGGCGAGATCTCTCCAACCCTTCTCTACGGCGTTGTACCAACACCACCTTCCGTACCAACCTTGTACAAGTACTACCGTTTACGAATCACGAATCATTTCCCAAAAAGTATGCGCGCCCTGGTCGACCCTCCACCCGGCTCTGTCTCGCCAACAACGACAGTCTTGCCTAGTCACCAGTTGCCGACACATACGATCCATTGCATTGCACCGGCGTCTGGAGGATGAGTCGAATAGGCTCTTCATTTGAATTTAGCATGCTAGCTTTTCTGGCATGTACTCTGGCTTCTTTGCTTTTCCGCGCGCGAGAGGAAGAACATAGATTGCACACCCCATACCCCGATGGCATGTGCGCAGGTCGAATACCGCCATTCTAATTATCTTCTGATCGCAGCGTTCTTCAGTGGGCTTGCAAGTCATAATATATTCTCCTGGTGGCAGTCTCTACGGAGCTGTCGCCAGGTGGATCATAGGGCGGAGTTCTCGGGCAGCGACGACGGACTGTTGATGTCGTGCTGGGCCCCTTCTAAAATAAAAACGTCGTGGACAGGCTCCTCCGTGAGTTGGTGGCGGACCATGGCATCTTGTTGTATGGGCTGCCACTGACCACGGGCTGTCGATGGATTATGGAGTCTGATAGATGGACCAATTCACACGTTACATCATATATTTGCTCTGTGTGCAATTCGCTCGTAATGACGGTAGGCAGGCATGGTGCTGCTCCGAATGTGAAAAGCTGATGTTTGCTCTCTTTTCTTCTGTTCTATCCCATCTGACCAGGTGCCCATCCTCCACGTCTCCTCCTTCAGGGGCTGACTACTTACTTACCTGCCTACCCATGCATCTACATCCAAGCAAATTAGTCAAATAGAGCAAGTACGTATTCCAATGCGGCCGACGAGAACTCGACAAACCAAACCTATCTCTATCCTGTGTGTGTGCCGAATATCTAACTAACCAACCAAGTAACTTGCCACGAAGAGGAAGGCAATCCGAAAAGAAAGTAAAAATAAACAGTGATCTATCTTTCAATCTTTCATTCTTTCAATCTAGCCAACTTAGCTTAGTGAAACTGGTTGCCTGCCTGCCTGCCTGCCTGGTTGGCTGGCTGCTTGATCCCAAGAGTGACGGAGAAAGAAATGGATGGCTGGTTCGCAATCATAAATAAATTATAAATAGCAGCTCAATTCGAGCTGAGCTGATCTGATCTGAGCTGATTTGATCTGATCTAGCAAGCCGTAGTTAAGGGATAGGATAGGAGTGTGTATATATATATATGTACGTGGACTATACAGATATATATACAACTATATATCTCCGTCCATGCATCCCATTCGCTGTTGATTGTTCAGCTTCCTCACTCAATCGTCCTCATCGTCGTCGTCGTCGGAATCGGCAAACATGTCTACGGCCTTGGGTCTTCGCGCCTTTCTCTGCGGAGGAGGCTGTGCTTCAGATCCAGGTTCAGCTTCAGGGCGCGCTTCAGGCTCTGCGTGCGGATGTGGATCTGCGTCGAGGGCCACGGCTGCTGTAGGTTTATCGTCTCCCCCTTCGTCATCAGCCGGCATCGGCGCGCCATCAACGTCTTCGTCGCCCTCGCCCTCGCCTTCGCCCTCGTCATCATCAGCCATCGGCTCCCCGTCGACATCTTCATCGTCATCTTCGTCCATGGGTTCGCCGTCGACGTCCTCCTCCTCCTCCTCCTTCTCCTCCTCCTCCTGCTTCCCATCCGCATTCTCCGCAGCGACAGCGCCACCAGTGGTAGCTCCCAGAGGCTTAGGAGCGACCTCCACAGCCTTCCACCGCTTCCGGCCCTTCTCCAGCTCGTCGCCGCCCTCCTTCTTCTGCGCGTCGACCAGCTCCCTCGCCGTCGCGGGCGGGTTGTTGAAGACGCGCGTGAAGAACTCCTGCGAGTCCACGGGGAACACGCACCACCCCTCCCACAAGCCCAGCACCATGCCCACGCTCCTCTTCCACTTCTCGGCTTTCAGCTTCCCCCAGCCCATCTTGCGTTCCATCCGGCCCAGCTCTTCAAAGGTGTGTCGCGCCTTGAGGGCATTTTCGAAGAGGGAGCGGTAACGCCATGCATGTCGGACGCCCGAGGTGGAGGAGGAGGAGAGGATGTCCGAGATGAGGAAGAGGCCGATTAGGGAGGCGGGGGTGGTGTCTTCTTCGTCTTCTGCTGCTGGCGCCGGACTATCTGATGACGGCTGCTTGGGATTCGCAGTGGTGGAAGTGGTGCTGTTGGAGGGTTTGTACAGAGGGTTGGCGGATGTATAAGCGAACGGTTTTGAGATGTTGGAGAGGATCATATGCACAATTTCATCAGCGCCTCTGCCGGCATGGGAGATGGCGAAGGCAGTGATGCGTGCTACGTCGCCTTTGCGCAGTTTACCCGTGGATGTGGGCAGGCGGGCGAGGAGGTGAGTGAGCTTTGCTTTCTCAAGGGGGTTGAGGTATGCTTTTCCATCATCTCCAAATGCACTTGGGTCGGTTGATCCAGCTTGGCGGCGCATGGCCCCTTCATCTCCTGACTCGTCATCGTCCGAGGAGTTGTATTCAGAGTCTGACACGAATTCAGAAAGTTGCGTCGTATACTCGTAAGCTAGTGGCTGGTCTGGCGATTTCCACGCCGATGATCCCTCGAACAAAGGTAGGTATTTGCCTTTTCCCCGCTGAATTGAGGAGCCGGTCAGAACTTCCCATAAACGCCAGCGGTACCACACGCCGCCTGTGCTTCGCGAATCCCAGATCCAGGCCCATTTTTCGTCGCGCTGGACATCGGGCCGGCTCATGAGTAGGGCTTCGAATTCGGGGCCGTGGGTGAGCAGGTTCTCAATAACTTTGTGGATCAATTTTAATTCTTTGATGTCTTGAGGCGCCTGGACGGGGACGTAGAGGAGAGGGCTGTTGTTGCGGGGTTGGTTGGGGGCAGAGGGGGCGTAGGAGGTTGGTGGTGCAAAGCCGCGCTGGTGAGGTGGTGCTTGCGCTCTGCCTGCTGCTGGAGTGACATCTACGGCTTTTGCGCCGAAGGGTTGGGAGGCCGTTGCGCTTCCTAGTGCCGAGACTGCCGCAGAGTTTGAGATAGCTGCCGATGATAGGTGGCGGTGGAGGTTGAGATAGTATCCGTAGCCCAGGTACCTGTTCTGCAAACTGTTGACTGCAGAATCGATGTCGTTCGCTGCCGTGTCCTTCGCCAGCGTCACAATGGCAGACATGCTCTTCCTCTCCGTATACACCACAGGTCCAGTCGCGGACAAGACCCTGACCGCGTCAACTTTCAAGTTCGCAGGCATCAACGCCTTAATAACAGCAGGACTCGTGCCGGGCGGCAGCGAAGCCAACCTCAACGTAGGCTTCGCAACAACCCTATCCTCCTCCCTCTCGGCCTCCCTACCCCCATCAAAATCATTATCCGTATTCAGCGCCCTTTTCGCCGCCCGCTCCTCATATTCATAATCATCAAAAGCCAGCGTTCCTCTTCCCCCTTCCCTCTGCTGAAACCCTTCAAAAGTCCTCTTTCCCCTGCCCAGATTCGGCGGTGGCCCTAAACTTCCCACACCACTCGGCGGCCGTCCTCCTCTCCCCGTGTCTCCTCCTCCCATTCCCGTTCCCATCCCATAGCCACCAGCTCTGCCACCACCCGGGCCGCTCGGCGCAAAATGTCGTTTCGGCGCGCCGCTGAAGCCTCCCCCTCCGAACCTAGGCGCGTCATCGCGCCCATATCCTGCTTGTGCATTGGCGGAGTCCTCGTCCTCGTCATCGAAGGACTTGACGAAATCTTCGTACACGGCTTTCGTCTCGGCTTCTTCGCGCAGGCGCTTGGCCTCCTGCTCTGCTTTTTGGCGCTCGAAGAGAGATTTTTTGGACGGAGCTTGTAGTTTGTTCTCTGCGTGGGGGAATTCGAGGATCTTTTTATTGATGGAAGACATGGCTACCTAGTCATAATCGGGGGCGATTGTCTCGGAGTTGGTTCTTGGGTGTTTGCTGAATGAGGGCGTAGATGGATGTCATCTTACAGGTGTAGGTAGGTTGGAAGGAATGTGAGATGTGGATTGGAGGTTGCAACTACGTCTCGCTTCATTGGCCAATGATGTCCACTAGCCGGAGAAACACCCTCCTTTCCGACGTCTTGATCCAAGAGCTGCACTGAAGTTGTTGGTATTTGAGGATGACTGTTACGCAATTTTTCGCCTTCTGTCTCTCGTTATTCTTTCTCCAAACTGTACTCCCTTGAATTTCTGCAAGTTTTGTAAAGCAGACTTGCTACGGAAGCCCTCCCCTTCTCGAGATTCCGAGCCGGTATTTACAATGACAATGTAGGTAGCATATGTAGGTAAGATATCTCTCCCCTTTTGATCCTAATTTTTTATGAAGTGACATTCCCAGATTCACATTTTTCATGTAAGCTTCCAAGAGAAGAACCTTTCTCAGGCAGCGATGAAAGCGATTTTTCATTGGATGTCTGGGCAACTATCTACAAAGTACACTTGAGAAACTTCGAGCCGATACTTGCAGGTGTGTTAATCTGGCTTTACTAGCATCCCTTAAGATGATGGTTATATCTCCTGCTCCATTACAGCTATACTTGTGATAAAGGTGGATACCTCGAAGTGATCCAGGGCGGTGTCGTTACAAAGGATATCACCACAAAATGGCGCAAGTTGTAAGTCAACGAAGTCTTATCCTTCTTTTGCATCTATATTTCTCTGGAAAAGACGCATCTCTATCGTGGTATTTTTTTCTCTTGCCCTAGGCTGACCGCAAACTCCTCGCCCTTCTTCTACTTGCCTACTTATTTTCTCCTCTTCACTGTACACTTCTCTCACCGGACACGTCCGCTCGAATCCGGTATCTCACCACCGACCACCATCCAGGTATTTACTCTTAGGTCCTACCGTTTCTAAGCTCGTCGTTATTCTACAGCCGCGCGTTACAGCCTGCGGACCAGCAGAACATTCGAGTACACACGTCCTTAGATTTTTAAATATACCGATCTGTATAGCTGTGCTGATCTGCTATATACACAAATGGAGTTTGTTGTAGCGATGAGGGAGTGTGGAGATGTAGGGCATTCCTATGTGTCTGAATATTAGCTGTTGAACGGTAATACCTGATGTTCAAAACCGGCGTTGCTTTATGGGCTTGATCTTGTAACATTTCCAGAACTCACTTAGCCTCAATAACTTCTCACAGTGTTCACCCCGTGCAGGGAGATTGTAGTTGCAGAATCAGATGATCTACCGAGCTGATTGATATCCAGCAATCAAACCAACAACTCTAGAATAACCTACCCGCTTCCGCCACAACCCTTCACCTGATCCCCTCTCTCAATTGACTCTACTTCTATCTTCTCCCACCTTAAACAGACCCTGGATGCGTACAGTTTCCACAAGCAAAGCCACCCATACGATTCGATGAGTGATCCCCTACTATTGAGTCACATCGTATTCCAATACGTATTCGATCTGGTAAATCTCCCCCAACACTTCGAAATTCCAATATGTATCAGACCTTTAAGATCTCTCTCAATATCCCCTGCCCCCCAACTAGAGAAAATACTTCAAAAATATCAGCAAATAACAGCGAGTTCAGAAATAACAATGCCGAAATAAATGGCAGCAGTTGGGAGAGCAATTAACCATGGAGTACAATCGAGATAATGGAGCTCTTATAGAAGTAGATAGATAGATAAAAAACGAAAAGTTGGACGTAGACTACGTCAACAGCATAATCGAAGTAATCGCCTCGACCACCCCCCTCCCTCTTAGAGGAGATACCAATCAGCTGTTAAGCCATGCCGAACCACATTGTGAAGTAAGAAGGGGATATAAATACATATTTGTTGAGTAAAGCACTAGCGTGACGCGGCCGCTGGACATTACAGTCTTAGATGTGAGCCTTGTCAATAATCAGGTGATGACCATCACCTTAAATCATTAGTACAACAGCAAAAATGTTTTTTTTAAATCCTTCTATTGTCTTTCAGTCGGTTTCGTAGGTACCCTAAATTTTAGAATCACGGTGTATATTAGCTGAATACAAAGCTCTCCTTGCTTTTCTATTTACTTTTCCTCGAAACCAACTTATTTATTTAGGTGAACAGACTATTTACTTATATGCAGCAGATAGCTAAACAAAGAGTATGCAAAAAAGCAAAATCTAGGCCTAAAGCGCTTGTTCCCAGCACAATAGAGAGCCGTTCTTTTTAGTGAGTTTCCCTTCCTTTTTTGTTGTGATATTGTAACAGGAGGATTGATAGACAGGCCTTACATTCGCAGGATGCCGTGGAAGACGGAGAGCAGATTCAGCGTAAATGCTACATGCTCGGCGTTGGATTTGAGTTTGCTGGTGAGAATGGTGGCCTAAGGGAAGTTATTAGAGGGAGGGAGAGGGAGAGGAAACTGATATGATATCCTCGCCGTAACAGCACCGCCTCATGACCTAAAATATAAAATCTCTCCAACTAACATTCTCCGGTACTGAAGCTGCACCACCCCCTTCCGTCCCGCCCCTTTGTAGGGAAATTGAAAGAAAAAAAGCGGAAAAAAAATTAAAACTCAACTGGAAGCCCAAAGTGACCGCGGTCACCTGGGACTCCAATCTACAAACCTAAGTGTATAGGTTTTTCGGGAAGGGGCCTAGTAGGTCAAGGCCTACTGATCGGTCAAGGCCGATTTACCATCCTCCTCTCCACAATCCCTTGTGAAGGGGGAAAGGTAAGAAGGAGGTGGCTTATTGTACCAATCGGCGGGTGTCAAGATCCTCTCACAGTTTTTAAGCAGGAGTTTAGCCATTGGGCCATTATGACGGTCCACCGATTGATATCTACACAGATGGAAACCACTCATTGAAGGTAGGTAAATTGTTTTCCGGCTGTGCTCTTGCTGAAGTTCTACTATAGTAAAGATCCATTCGTGAGGGATAGAGAGAGCTGAAAAAGATGCGTTCATTTTGCCAATGCCAAACCGGGCAGAGTTGAATGAAATCGCTTTTTTATAGGAGAGAAGGAGATTCCAAGAAGGATGGCTTTACTTATTATAAACTGTCCACAAGGCGAGGTAATATAGATCTCTCAATTAGCAGTCCCTGTACTCCTAACTCCCCCCTTGCTGTGCCCCTCAACACCCATAGTGCGCCGGGTCTCGTTCTGCTCAAGGGATGCGTCAACGAAGAACTTGCGTCGGTCGGCATCTGGCTTACAAAGCTCGCGATGGCGTAGCTTCGGGTGTTCGGAGATTGAATAGCCTGAAATTCGGTAAGGGTACACTTGTTTCGATTGAATGCACAGTGAGTGCTCTTCGAAATGAATGCGTGAAAGAAATCTTCTGAGTAATAATCAGATTTGACGTGACCCCATGCAACCAAACCATAGCATTCAAAGATGTCCTTCATACATACCTCGAAGCTGTGCTATGATCTACAGTCTAGATGAATTGTGAAAACTGGACTGTGTTATGTAATGCGTGAGATATGAGGACTATGTTACCAAACACTATCACCATGTTCTCACAATGTCGATTGAAACCAAAATTGGCAGCTTCCTTCCGTTCGTATATTATATTTTGAGTATCGCCGTAGATTTCTAGATTCCCACAGAACAACGACCTCATAACTTCCGACTCGGTCCTTCTCAGCAATCGGGGCTCCGTTATCTATCGCTTCCCTTCTCTCGAGGGGAGCAAAGTATCTGTCCTCGAGGTCGACAGAAATATCGCGTTTCTTGAGAGCAGCAATCGCCTGCGCGTTTTCTTCCCCTTCAAACGCCTCATCCCCAAAGAACCGTTTCTCTACCGCGTCTAGAGGAGTAGGAGTTCCGGCAATGAGATGCGAGGTGGACAACATAAGGGCCAGAAAGAAAGAAGAGGGGTATATTATTGATGTGTATATTTTACTGACCGGCAGCGTATGAATGAAGAAAATAATCAAGAATAGAGAATATAGAAGATACTCAGAACGGGATTAGATACACGATAAGATGGAAAAGAGAGGACGAAGAGCCAACGAGCAGTAGATTATATACCCGCCCCTATATCTCCTGCCGTCTCAAATATTGACAGCCAGGTACAGACAAGCAAGGGAGGAACTAGCAGCCGTCCCTCTAAGAGACCATTGACAGGTCCAGGACTGGATGCAAGATAATGCAGGGTTTTGTATGGGAGGCAACAGCATAACAGCTGCCAGCGGCGACCGTGCATGAGACTTGTTTTGCTTGATTGATAAGGAGATTGTGGAACCGAAGGTCAAGCACCGATCACCATCCTGGGCGTTCTGATGTCCAGACGTCGACTATGAGTGGAAATCTGATGTCTGACAAGCGATTATGATCTGCAAAAGAGACGCGCGGGCAGCGACCTTTCACCTATCTCGTTCGTTTGAAAGCGATTCCTGCAAATGGGCAGATGACTTAGTATTCCTTGATATTGCACCACCTTGTACCGTACATCTGGGACTCTGATAAGCGAAAAGATAGATGGGAGAGGATGAAGAGAGCGGAGCCCAATTCGTTTTGCCAGCTCGAGGCGGCTGTGCTCTGACAAGTCTCGAGTAAAGGCGTTCCTGTGTTCAAATGTTTGATCGGCGTCAACCGCAAACAACAATGATGTTGCATGCGCTGCCGTTCTACGAGTTCGTTACTTCTGTTATAGCACCACTAAGGAGAGAAGATGCTTGTCGAGCTGTCGAGATGTTGCGGTGTTGTGGTGTTGTGGTGTTGTGGTGGCTAGTCCCGGCCCGCTTCGAGAAGCTGTCCTGTCATAAAGTCACGTGTTTGTCACAGGCAATAAGACTTTTCTGGCATCAAACCAAGGCTTTATTTCTCTATTTACCCTTCTTCTTCTTCTTCTTCTTCTTCTCCGTTGTCCCTGCCCTGCTCATATTTCTTACCCTCTTGTCGAAACTCGCTTCTCGCTTCGTTGAAGCTTCTTCTCGTCGATGATGTATGTCGAGTGTCGGCATCAAAATTCAAGCCGCCGGTAAGATATAAGATGACTATTTCCTGATTTCGAACTCATCTAATAGGAGCCTCTACTTAGGCGCTCTTGCGTCCTCTGTCATACTGGCAACGTGTGAGCTTTCGTACTCCCAAGATCTACATCCTTTACCCCGCGTCCAAATCCCGCCTAAATAAAAGCTAGCCGACCCGGTACGGTATTTCTGATTTCTACACCCTCCAACTTCGACTTTTATTCCTCATCCTCATCTCCCCTGAACCATTAAAAAAACATTTGGTCAAAAGCACAAAGGGCGTTGATATTCTACAAGATGGCCGCCGCCACGCTTCCTTTCCAGGTGAGTTGTGTAAATACTTCAATTCCGGGTCGGAATGGAATAGCGGTGCAAATGACTGACACTGGCAGCTCAAAAATGCTTCCATCTTCAAGGATAAGTCTCTGGTCGGTGGTGAATGGATAGAAGCCAGGTCGGGCAAGAGGTTTGATGTGGTGGGTAAGAAGCTGGTCCGCCCACCTTCATGGAGACCGTTCTGTTGAGCCCTCTAGATCCCGGAAATGGCAAAGTCTGGGCATCAGCTCCAGACAACACGGCCGAAGACGTTGACGCGGCTGTCAAGGGAGCTCACGAAGCATTCAAGACTTATAGCAAAGTCAACCCCAGAATCAGAGCACAATGGCTCTTGAAGTGGGATGCTCTCATCCGGGAGAACAGAGACGACATTGCCAACATCGTCACTTATGAGACCGGAAAGCCTCTCTTCGAATCCCAAGGGGAGCTGGTAGGTGATGGGGAGGCCCGGACTCTCCTTCAATGATTGTCTCCAAGACCCCTAGGACATGCCCTGTCTTCTTCTTGTCGAGGATGTAAATACTGACTCATCTATGTCATTCAGGACTATGCCTTGGGTTTCACGTGGTGGTTCGCTGGCGAAGCGGAGAGAGTCACCGGAACCATCTCAATCCCAGCTGCTCCGGGACGAAGAGTCTTTACTGTCAAACAACCAATTGGCGTAGCCGCAGCGCTTGTTCCTTGGAACTTCCCAATCGCTATGATTCTCCGAAAGGCCGGTGCCGCTTTTGCTGCAGGATGCACGATGGTTGTGAAGCCATCCCCGGAAACCCCACTGTCGGTGCTAGCGCTTGCAAATCTTGCACAGGAAGCTGGATTTCCAAAGGGTGTGTTCAGTGTCTTGACTACAAGCTTGGAAAACACACCGCCCCTGAGTGAAGCACTTTGCCGCCACCCACTTGTCAAGAAAGTTACTTTCACTGGATCTGTAAGTCCCCACTCAAGATATATGAAAATTCGGAGCTGATAATATAATGCGGTAGACCAGAGTTGGAAAGCTGGTTGCGAAACATTGTGCCGATGGCTTGAAGAAAGTCACTCTTGAGCGTACGTAATTCGGGAGCCTCTTTGCCCTATTCACTTACGCCACTCCCGAAGCTTTCCTGATCAGGCAAATACTGAGTCTCCGGTGTCGTACAGTTGGAGGAAACTGCCCGTTCCTGGTCTTTAATGATGCGGACTTGAACCACGCTGCGGATGGTATGTTACATTTTTAGAAGGATTTCAGAGTTTCCACTGATCAATTTTTAGCCCTCATGGCCTTGAAGTGGCGCCATGCAGGTCAAGCTTGTATTACTGCAAATCGGGTCTACGTTCAAGCAGGTGTTTATGAAAAGTTCGCAGAGATCTTCAAGGAGAAAACCTCCAAGTTGGTCGTCGGACACGGTGCCGAGAAGTCAACCACGATGGGTCCAGTGACCACAGAAAGAAGTCTTGACAAGGTTCTCAACCAAGTCGAGGATGCTAAGAAGCACGGAGGTCAGGTCGTGCTAGGTGGTGGTAAGGTCAAAGATACTTCAGGATACTTTTTTGAACCAACGATCATTCTCGGAGCGAAAAAAGAAATGTTGATTACCGAAGAGGAGACCTTCGCTCCAGTTCTCGCTCTCTACAGCTTCGAGACTGAGGATGAAGCTGTCCAAGCTGCCAATAACACCAGCGTAAGATTCAAAAGTGACCGGGAAAAAACCGTCGATACTGATTGATATCACAGATGGGACTGGCCTCGTACTTCTTTACCAAGAACGTCGATCGTACTTGGAGACTTCTCGAGAATCTTGAAGCCGGTATGATTGGTATGAACACAGGGAACTCGTCGGCTGCAGAATCTCCATTCGGGGGTATCAAAGAGTCAGGTTACGGAAAGGAATCCGGAAAAGACGTCGCTATTAACGAGTATCTCATCACAAAGACCGGAACCCTGACTCTTGATGGCCACTTCTAGTCGGAAACATGGCTCCCTTCTCATCACTAGCCTCGGCCACGAAAGTACAAGATTCCACATCTCTTCGTTTCCGTTGGTGCTCGCTAAAATGTCATCGCAATCATGTGAAGGGGCTCGGGTAGGTTTTTGGACAGGAGCTTCTCGCTTGTTTCACCGGCCACCAGTGTGAAATTTTGTGCCTCGGCCCATGATCTCGCGCAAGACGTGTTTCTAAATCCCATCGTATCGTTATGATTGGCAGGAGCTCATCTTACCGGATCGCAACTGCCCATGTCACCCTGCGTACCCACTGAGTCGAAAGCCGCGGTAGATTTGATACACTTGCCCGGATGCGGTATCCTTGACGCAGATCCCAGATATATTTTACTGTCGATATATTAAAGTCGTCTCTGTTGACATTTCTTGGGCAGTGTTTATTTTCCAACTATACAGAATCAAATATGTCAGCTTCCAAGATTGTCCCGATCCTCACAGCTCCCCTCCGCCTCGCGCTATTTGACCCGAGAGCAACATCTATCCTCCTCGCCGCAGCTCTCTACTATCCCGACAAACTGCACAGTCTCCTTCCCTCAGCTTTACACCCATTAGTTTTCTCACCCTCGTTCATCAATGCACTCTCTGCTCTCCTTGGCCTGGGCGTCGTGCGCAGCCTCAACAATCGCCTCTCGCAGTATCTATCCAATAACTGGAAAGCGGACGCCAAGTTCGTGAAGAGCCAGGAGGTTGTCTTGATCACTGGGGGCGCGAGCGGGATCGGGGAATTGATGGCGAAGGACTTTGCGGGACGGGGAGTTAAGGTTGTGGTCTTGGATTTGAGGGGACCGAAGGTTGCATTCCGTAAGTAGGCATTCGTTCGTATGCAGCTAGCGAAATGGAGGGGAACATTCTGGCTGATCAGGAAATAGCTCCTGGCATTCATTTCTACGAATGCGATGTCACGAAGCCGGAACAAATTGCGTCTACAGCCGCCGAAATCCGTAAGAGCCATGGCGATCCGACGGTACTGATCAACAATGCTGGAATTGGTACCGGACATTCGATCTTGGATGAAACCGAGGAGAGGATTAGGTTGACGTTTGAGGTTAATACTATTGCGCACTTCTGGATGGTGAGGGAGTTTATCCCGGCGATGGTGAAGAAGAATCATGGGCACGTGGTTACGATTGCGAGCATGGCTAGTCAGTACTCCTTCCTCTGTTGTTGTTTTGATTTCAAGCGAGATCATGCTAGGGGTCCTTGGTTAGGTGCTTACTGTTGATCACCTCCCGATCTTAGGCTACCTGGTGCACGCGCAAAATGTCGACTATTCCTGTTCCAAAGCATCTGCGCTCGCTTTCCACGAAGGTCTCGCATCCGAGCTTCGTTCTCGCTACAACGCTCCTAACATCCGTACCACGTTCGTTCTCCCCTTTTCTTCCCTCTAGCACCCATATACATACATATTCAAATTCCAACCCACTAACGAATTTGCCAGCGTTGTAAACCCAGCCTGGATCCGCACCCCGCTCATCGAAAAACTAACCTCGAACCGCGACTTCAAAGACCCCGTTCTCGAGGCCGAGACGGTATCCAGCAAAATCGTCGCCCAGGTCCTGAAGGGGAGAAGTGGCCAGCTGATCTTACCCGAGAACCTGACTCCCGCGAGCACGATCCGTGGGTGGCCAGCATGGTTGCAGATTTCGCTGCGGAACAGGCTTGCGGATAGTCTGAAGAGTGATACCTTCACAGGGTTGCAGTAGAAGGCGCATGTTGTACGGACTTTTTGTTATCTTCGTTGTATTTTTTTCTGGCTAATTATGGAGCGCTTTTTTGTACTCAGAATCCATGCACGGAGTATATAGTTGTAATAAAATCTTTACTATTCCCCCCCTCTCAGTACTGTAGATAAAAGACGAAAGTATGCTTTTGCAAGGGCTCTTAACATGGCTTGAACCAATCAACTTATAAGGATTCAGCCTTAAAAAGCATCTTTAAGCAAGTATTTAGTCTGTGCAATACAGTTGATAAGGCTTACTACCTATGGGCCATTCAGTAACCACCGCTTTACGATTTATGACGCTAAACTGGGTCCGTCTTTTAGTCAGCCCAGATAAAACTGAGATTCTACTTAGCTCTTAGAGCTTCATATTGCATAAGCTCGTTGATAAGGCTACCTATGAACCATTCAGAAACCACCGCTCTACGATTTATGACGCTAAACTGGGTCTGTCATTTAGTCAGCCCAGATCAAACTGACATTCTACTTAGCTCTTAGAGCTTCATATTGCATAAGCTCGAGACGAGGCACTACTACGTAATACAAGACGCAAACGAAACACCGAACACTTGGGCTTGCCGGCCACAGCCTTATCAGAGCTCAAAATATATTTGTAGGTGCGTCAGTGAAAGTACACAGATCGCCGATGCTACGTATGGCGGTCTAGAGTCTGAGATAAGTAAAGTTCTCAACAATCCTCCATGGCATGGACTACCGGTACCTACAACTAACTAGTCCGTATATAGAGCTTATAGAAAGCTGGGAAACGGCGAGCCGTTGGTACTTAGTCCATCCCAGGAGGACGCTGCATGAGAAGAAGAAGAAGAAGAAGAAGAAGAAGAAGAAGAAGAAGAAGAAGAAGAGCGCCTAAGAAGAACCCTCGTCGTATCTGTATGATCATGCAGCCACTGGGCTGGAGGGCTCGAGATATTTCGCGGTCGCGCCACTCATGATCCCTACATCGAAGCTGACCGGGCAACCCGTGCGCTGACAGCGATCAAGGTCTCAGCCTTATGCTTTATTTTTCCCCGCGACGCGCGCTTGCCGCCAATATATATATATATATACCTATACACGCCATACGGAGGTACACCGGTCAAATGTCGCAACCCTCGTCGACCCACGGCTACTATTTCTCACCCACTTGGGCAATAACGTGATCGCTAGGCACGGAATTTTGAAGAACCTCATTTTAACAGAACCCAACTAGGTTAGAAAAAGTGGCTGTGGGTCGACGAGGGTTGCGACACTTGACCGCTGTACCTCCGTAAGTAGTACGTTGAAACTTCGCTTCCCAACCCAGTTACACAACCTCGACTCCCGTCGTTCTGTATCGGGCTGGAGAGTTGCGCAACAGTTCGAGCTTTTGCACCTTGCATGCAGAATCCATGTACTGCGAAAGGGCTATTGGTCAATCCGAGTGTTCCCCTAGTCTCCTGGCCGCCTTGTAGTTGTACAGTATACGGAAGTTACCGCTGAGAACGCCAGCTCGGCTCGCTTAGTTGCCAGAGCTTGCAGTCAGTACAGCTAGCTGCGACAACCTCCTACGCAGGAACCTCTTAGCAGATAGTGATCATGGCCGCTGACTGCATGAGCGTTGTATCTTTGCTGACCTCATGTTGGTAATTTCGCGTTTCGTTCGAAGTGGGCTTCCACTCGGAAGCCTCCCTGGCGGCGACAGGGACCATGATACTTATTGAAAGATCTCGGAAGGCTACTTAGGGAGCCTTCCATCAGAGAGCACGCCTTACGGAGAGGCATGGAACTGCTTCTTGCTTATACTTGCCATATATGTCAAGAAAGCACGGAAAGTTTCTCTGCTTAGAGTCTTAGACCCGGTCTGCATGATGAACTCTTTTTCTTCGGCTGGACAATATGAACGACATCTGTGACGGCGGAACCTTGCTTGATCCTGTCTTGTATCGAGAAGCAGATAAGAGCCTTTGTTCTCACCTCCAGAATCTCACGATGCTCAACAAAACTCCGCAGACCTTCACCTATATTTTACAACTGACAGACCTCCCTCCTCAACAAGATGATGCTCATCTTAGCTCTCCTCATCTTCTGCATCGCCCTCTGCGTTCTCCTCGCCACACAACCTCTCCCATTCCTCCCACGGACCAGATGCAGGCTCCAAACCATCAAACAGCAACCCACCCACACAGAGACCAAGCTCCGTCAAGATGTCAAACCGTACCAATTCCCACCTCTCAAAGAGAAGACATCCACCAAGATGGCAATGGGTCTCAAACGTCTCGACGACTCCAACTGGCTGACTCTCGACTCGGCCTACCTCCCCGAACACACCCTCCGCCTGCAACTTCTCTCCTCCTGCCAGCCAGACGTCGTCCAAATGCTTCCAGGCTCGGAACCAGCATGTCACGAACTCCTCAAAACCGTGACCTCCTTCCTCTCATCACGATTCCCACAACACTTCACCATCGCCTCGTCGCCGTCAGGCCCGGAAATCGTAAACCGCCTGACGAATGAGGTGTACCCCATCGGCCCTTCATGTGCGAACCCACTCGAGGTAGCGGCCAAGTTAAGCATGGAAGACTTCAACATCCTGGTCCGAAGTCCCGAGACGGGCGAGTACCACCTTCAAGCCTCAGCCACGCTGTTTCCCGCCGGGTGGAAACTGCAGGAACGGATCGGGACCAGCATGGCGAATCTGCACCGGCCGGTGCCGGGATGGAACCAGAAGCTAGGACCTTGTGTCAACAGGTACGTTTCGCCCAAACCTCCGGACTTCCCTCCCCGTCTTACATACGTATGTGAATTGTGTTCAGGGTTAACTTCAAAACTCAGGTATTTTGACCACCTCTCTCACAAGACCGCTATGGAACGCACAAACGTCTTCATCCAGACCACGCCTCACCTGTTCCAAGACGCGCCCGAGCCCACTCCATCTAGTCCGGCGACAGTGAGCCAGCTCATGGTCCGCCGCGAACGCCAGACTTTCACTCGCCTGCAGCAGACGGGCGCAGTGCTCTTCACCGTGAGGACGTACATGGAGCCGCTTACCCAGCTGGGAGATGCAGAGCTGAAGGCGCTGAGGAGTCAAGTGCTCGGGTGGGAGGCGGAAGTTAGGGCCTACAAGGGAGGCGACATCTGGGGCCCGCCGCTGCTGCGTCTTTGCGAGGAGAGGTGCGGTGCTGTTGTTGTTGAGGTGGCGAAGGCTGACGAGAAGATCATGAGGGCGACGGTACGCGGAGGTGGAGCTTAATAAGCGAACGGTCGGTCGAATCTACTTTTCTTGGAAATAAATGGGCGAACGCTTGCTTGCGCCTTGGGATTGGCTGCTGCTGCACTTGGGAATTTTGGGGGCTTGGATGAGGACTGACTGACTGACTACCTCTCCTTGGAAACGGAGCGCTTTGGGAGTTTTGGGGCGAATGTCTAATTAATACCACCATCTGACTTTTGTTGATTTATCCAGGGGAAACGGGAAGGGGAAGGAGTCCAAAAGCGAGAAAAGTTGGAACGCAACGGAACGGAAGCAAAACAGATGGGCATATCAGATCAACGAAATAATTTTGTTGGATAACGGGATATCTAGCTTATTCATAATCAAAGAACCGAAAGGAGACTGAATTTCCACCCCCCCCCCCAAAGAAAAAAATAAAACAAAAAGGCACTTGTGTCTGATCCCGTTGCGTGTGCATGCATGCCAGTCAGATATGCGAGGTTTCCATATTTAAGAAAAACTCTCTCTACCTATATCTTGACTATCAGAGTGCTGCTGATGCTACCTCTGCGTCCTCATCTTTGGAATGCTGTTGCTCAGAAGCACATCGTAGCCGGGGGGGGGAGATGCAGGTTTCATTGGACTAACCGTACGTAGCCTATCTCCGGACAAGGCTTTTCTTTATTAAATCCATGTACGGAGCTCTCGGTCTGACCTTGGAAAAGGTAGGTAGGTAAGTAGGTATATGAAGTCTAACGACGGCTCCGATAAGAGAAAACGGCAAGATAGGATTGCCGCTTGGGATATATACGGACATGAATGTGTAACTATTCTGCGGATAATGGGTTCCGGCTTTTCACTTCTCATGTTGGCTCCGCGTAAATTCGTCGTCTCGTTTGTAGCTAGCTTGAGACAGACAAGTCTCAGTCTGAATCCGGCCACATGATAAGAAGCAGCAGAAATTCCACAGGTCTGCAACATCTTCTTATCAGGTTGGGGAGATATATCTCGAACATATAAGCCTTTGGTATAGACCCTAATGAGAGCCGAACAACGAGGCGCCAGCTGGGTAATTGCCCGTATACCACTCAGGCTTCGATTGATATTCTCCAACCGTAGCCGCCCAAAGGGCTGACTGGCATCTTACCGAGGCACAATAGTAGGACGGTTCGACAAGAAAGGAAGCTTCATAATGCTGTTGTCTACTCGGACTGAGACAGGCCTGTGATCACACGAGGGTTGGTAGCTGTGTGGCCTTTGAAAACAAACAAGGAAAGGGAGCACTCCGCGCAACAGGGATATACGTAGTATATGCAAATGTATAAGCATTTGCTTCGAGGCAAGAGTTCATTCGGCTCGTTCGGCTCATGTGGCAATGTCTGCAGCAGAGCCGTCTTGAGGTACAATCATAGAAAGTTTGAAAGGTTCTCACTCCTTAAAAAAATAGAGGAAAAGGGGGAAATAGGGAAAAAAATTCTACTGAAGATTTCAAGATGGTAGCTTCATAGCCTAACAGAACGAAGCTAAAATATTAGTAAGACGTTTATGAAGCTATGAGCATTGTGTACTAGAGATGAGCGTTGTCGCAAAAGCCTCCTCCTCTTGATTACCTAATCGAGCTGGAAGCAGCTCGAGCCGCTTCATGGTCCATGCTCGATTTCCCGAACGTCACGATCCGAGCTTCTTCTACCCTCGAGCTTCCCAAATCCCTCACAACAACAACAACAGCAACATCATAAACATCCGACCTCCCACCAGCCGCAGCTCTTGCCCCAGTAGAGCTTGCAATCGCAAAGATGGTGCTCCAGAACGCCTCTGCAACGACTGCAAACGACTCGTTCGAAGACAGTGCTCTAAGCTCAGATGACGACCCTTACGCCAGCTCGAACTCCGGCAGCGAGGTCGCCCAGAAATACATGATCAGTGGGACCTCTCTGCCCAAGCCAATACCGATCTTCGGCCCCCTATGTGGCTACAACGAAACGTATCTGGTCCAAATCTTAGATCGCAGGGTCGCAAACGGTTCGCGGCTCCTACATCGACCCTTGACGCAGGAAGAGGTGGATGCGTTGGTATACCATTCTGCAAAGAGGGTGGCCATCTTATCATACGGTACACCTCTCGGGGTTGTAGGTGGTGCATTGAGATGCTATCAGACGGCCAATACCTTCCAATTCCCTTTTTACAAGCCGAATCTGGAGAAGTTCAATGCGCAGGTGTTTCCACCTAAGTTCAGCTTTTTAACGGGTTCCAGGGCGATGCTCGCGTGGCATTTTGGGAGGCTTATTGCGTATAGTATGGCGGGGGAAGTTTTCGGAGATGCTTTTATGACCTCTTATGCGCTTTCCGTGTCGGCTGTGGGGGAGTCATCGGACAAGAGACTGAAACCGTTCATCGAAGCTATTCAGGCAGACCTAAAGAGGAAGAGGGCCGCTCAGAAGGATGGTCGGGAACCAGAGCAGCTGCAAGTTAAGCGAGGGAATGTCAGTTCTACACGTACTGGCATTGAGACGGATTGGAATCCTGCACAGAAAGACACGCCTGGAGAAGAGGTCCGAGCTGGGACCATAGAAAGCGCAATGGCTGTATTCCAAGCTGGAATTCAATCGGAACGGGACTCAGCCCCGCGTCCTCAATGGCAAGGCAGACCTACACCTGCTGTTCCCACGGAGGAGAGCTCGCCCCAACCATTTGGCATATTCGATGATGCCTCTCCTACAGGCGGGCAAGGTGTACAAGCAGATATCAGAGAAACTCCAGCAGCATCCTCCCCCCCATCACAAGGAGGCTCCGCGTGGGATAGGATTCGGAGAGGAGAAAAGACGACCCCGGCTGCTGAACGTAGCACACGGAAAGCCTGGCCGAGGATAAGTGATGACCAGGAACGTGGTTCGGGCGATGACAGCTTTGCGTTTTCAAAGAGCGAAGGAGAAAGAAGCTTCGCAAGGCAAGAGACTCAGAAGGAGTTTGATGCCAGGATGGAGAAGGAGAGGAGAGGCGGCGACTTTTCCAATGGGAATGGAGACCAACGTCGGTGGTGAGAAAGAATCCTGTAAGATTAAAGAGAAGAAAGGCATGTGTGTTCAGGACAAAATGCATTTGGGGCCTTGGCGCTACCAATTTCTATAATAAGGTCATGAGGCATCCTCTCGGACGGATGTGCAGACAGACACCGGTTGGTTGGCCTCCTTCATTATCCAGCACAATCTCGATCTCCATCTCGATCTCTAACCCGAAAAAATTCATCGACGCAATACTTTCTTTCCCCAAAAGCCTGTCTGAAACTTCTCCTTTCTTTTTCCATGGAAACTCGAGTGTGTTAAATCCAAGTCCGGGGGGATCTACGCATCACCAATTGACTCTAGTAAGTCTTTGGTTGTCCTATACAATAGCTAGCTGGCTGTCAAGCCTTACCTAGTTACCTAGGTACCTCTGGAGTCTGGGGCTTGAAGAATGGGGGGGAGGAGGGGGGTTACATCTTGCTGTGCTGTGCTATGCTATGCTATACCAACTCATTTCGATTAGGCGCCTCCCTTGTTAATCACTCACTCACTTAGCTACTCCTCGCAAAGGATTCATGGATTTATTCATTGATTCACTCACTCATTCATTCATTCATTCATTCATTCATTCATTCATTCACTCACATCTCTGCAAGTTTCACATCAACTCAAGTCGTTAGTTCCGCCATGGCATAGCAGCAACGAGATGGGAAAGGTAAACTAACTCTAAGCTTTTTTTTGCTCTTTTGCTCTTTTTGCTTTTTTGCTTGCTTCCTCGCTTTCATTTCTTGGT